GATTGATGAGTAGCTGGCTTCTGTAACTACATTAACCTGCATGGTTTGAATGGGCTCATCTTCTGAAGTAGTTTAAATCAGTAAATATGACAGCATTGTCCTCCCTATGTACTCCTCTGCCAATGTTTTATATGCAAATCCTATAATCAGTGACTGTCTTTCCACACCACTGATGATAACAGTGACCTTAATAAGCACTACTGTTAAACCCACAGTAGAGTGCATCTACTCCGTAATGGCTTCTTTGACTGACACACCTAAAAACATTTTTCAGTCTTCATTTACTTAGTGCTCTACTGACTCTCCGTAGTACCAATTGTGTAAGAATGTCACGTGGTACTGTGTTAAACACCCTTGCAGGAATCTTTCATCCACACCATTACTGATGAATCTAAGCAAATGAGATGGGTTTGACAGGATGTCTATTGGGATTTCAGAGAGATCGGTACAGTTCTGTGATTCTGACTGACCACTACTAAATATTACCTCTAGAATTGTCTGCCTGCTCTTTCATTTGAAAAGGCTAACTTCTTTCACATCCCCACTGGGAACCATAACTGGTTATCTGGGTTGGCTGAATAGTCCACTCGCAACACTGCTACAGTGAGAATTTTACAGAAAGTGGACAAATCTTAGTTCTGAGTGTCTGTCCTTGTTGAAAGGCCTGCATTATCTGTAAGACTGATGTAATGATGACACTGGAAACTACACATAGGAGGCCATCTCTTAGATATGAAGTCTTTGTGTAAGAGCAGTACACACTCCTTTCAGAAAGAGATGCCTCATCTCTCAGAGAAACCCAAACGGTTTTTGGCTGAAATATTAAAATGTTGTGAAGAAACTTAGGCAGAGAGATGTGTGCTTGTCTAAATGGTTTTCTTACATGTGTTTCTTAAAATAATCAAGCAAAAACTCTTCTGACATGGGAAGTGTAGCTGAAGGGGTGATGTGAAAATCCAAATTGCCCACACGATGAAGAGCTCTTGAGAAGGAGAGATCAGAATTTGGAGGGTCATTGTCTCTGGCCTTGTCTTGTGTATTTGAGTTGTAAGGTTGTCTTTGGTGGGCCATATTAATGCCTGTAATTTATTTGTAAAGGAAGCTGGAAAAAGTTGTGTGGCCTGTTTGATTCAGGTGCTCTTAAAAGTTTGAAAAGAACA